CCCCCCCCCCCCGCCCCTGCCATCTCCCCCGCGTTGTTCTTTCCCCACCTGCTTCGCGCTCCCTCCACTACCCGCGCGACACATGGCACAATAGGACAAGGCTTACAAATCATCGAATCTCTCTCAACGAACATCATAGAACTTGCCCTTTTTTTTTTTTTTTTTGCAAATCGTTTTTTTGTTACAAATCATTGAAATTAATTCTTTTTGAAATTTTTTCTTTAGCATTTTTTTTTTTTTTTCATAGTTACAATTATTATTTCTTTTTCCTCATCAATTATCCTTCGAAATTTTTTTTTGCAAATTAATCAATTTAGTTATTCTCTAGCTCCTTTTTCTGAAACTTTGAAATACTTTTGAATTTCGAAAAAAATTCCGAACACTTTGCATTTCAAAACAATTTCTTCGAAAATATCCTAAAATTTTATTTATTTTGCAATTCCTTCGAATCTTTGCATTCAAAATTTCTTTTTCGTACCTAAAATTTTTGAAAATACTTTCAAATTTCAAAACTTCTTCGAAATTAATTCCTCCTAATTCAAAAATATTATTTCTTTCTTCAAAAATTTATTTGCGAATTATTTCTTTCGGCTAAAGTTGCACCTTTCGTACGAATTTAAACTTCTACAAACCCGAACATTTTAATTACTTCAATAATTAAATCCCAAAAAAGAATCAACTTTTAAATCCGAATTCAAATTTCTTTTCGTTTTGAAAAGTCTCGAATTTCTTTTTCAAATTCCTTTCCATTTTCTCGAATTTAATCTTTTTTAAAGTAATTCAAAAATCTTGATTTAAATTATTTCATAATTATCGTTTAAATTTGTTAAAAAATTCAAAAGAAATCCCCCAAATATAGCAAAATTTTTTGAATTTTTCCACTTATGCAATCAGACTCGTTCTCAAACACACTTTTCATGCATGTAAACAGCAACGCAGCATACTGGCGACATGCGCCTACTTTAAACTCAAAGATATGGCTTTCAGATACGAGTTCACTCTCAATTGGCTATGGTGACTTCAGCACCCAAACATCTCACTGTTCACATACACTAGATCACCCTGGATATCCCACACGCATCACTCTAACACTCGAGCACACACACACACTCACTACTAACTACAACTATGGCAGCTATGGCTGCCTCTAACCTATCGCTATGCTAACTCCTCCTCTCTTGCCCACTGCGTCCTCCGGGCTCACTGCAGACCTCCTTGCACAAGTTGCTGTGGCAGCGCTTCCGCATGGCTCACGTAGGAATGAATGAATGGCTGGGCGCTGCCTCTTGATTTATACTTCAGAAACTCGTTGGTCTGCCCTTTGCCATCGGCCCCTGGTGCTTACAGTCCCCCTGTGGTACTTGCTGGACCGGACTGGGAYTGACTGGACCTTCCCTGACTGACTGTGGACTCACCGCTATCCTACCGACGTCGTGCTGCTATTGCACTGCAGTTTAGTCCACCACTTGCCTCGCCACTTGACCACTTGCCCAATTGCCTACCTTCTAGAAGGTCTACAGCTAAGCTTCCGGAACTCGCTAAGACTTCTACGCTATAGACCTACAGATCAAACCCCTGCTGTCTATGGACCTACGACAGGTCTACCAACTGCCTACGAATGCACAGGTCACAGGTTCAATTCTCGGGGTCTASACAGATACTGTACATGGGTAGGGTGAGGTCYAGGGATCGAACCCTGGGTACTGCATCCGCTACTGCTAAAAGGTGAAAACCGTTTCACTCCCGCCGTCCTAAATTCGAGGTCCTCCGAGAAAATTTTAGTCCAAGGCAGGACCTTTACCTTTCTTGTCACGCTCATAGGCCTTGACTATGTCGGGAGCGGTCTCTAGAAGTTCTGCTTTCGTSAACCAGCGGTCGTCTTCCGGTTCCTGATAAGCAAACCGGACCTTATACTGTTTCTGGGGACGACCTCTACTTCCTCTCCTAAACACATCCTCTTCTACAATGCCCTCTATGTCATAGCTTCCATCCATACCCGGTGGAATCATGGATCTCCTGGAAGGGAACTGTTGACTAGTGATACACGACAACAACTTTGAAGCATGAAACACAGGGTATGTGTGGAGGTGTGCTGGAATCTCAATGCTATAGGACGTCCTCTCCACCCTTGACTTCTAGAACCGGCCACGGTCCTCTATATGCAGGCAGTAACTTCTGCGAGATGTTTTCTTCTGGTGCAAACTCTTTTGCCTTGACCCGGACGAAGTCGCCTACTTGAAACTGTGATGAGCGACGGTGTTTGTTAGCCTGCTCTATCATTCTGTGTTGGGCCTTCCGTAGGTTCTCAACAACAGTGGCTAATTCCTTTTCGTGTTGTATCGCAAACTCCCTGGTACCGGGTGGTAATCTGTGAATCTGATCCCGGTTCAGTTCTTCGAACGGTCTGCGCGGTCTGAAGGACTTGTGCAACTCATTGGGGGTGCAGCAGGTGGATAGATGCACGCTGTTGTTGTATGCACTAGCTACCTTAGGCAACATCTCATCCCGGTTAATCTGATCTGGTCTAATGTACATGCGCAGAACTTGCTGTAGGATCTTGTTCATCTGTTCTGTCTGACCGTTAGTCTCTGGGTGACGGCCAGATGACATTAACAACTTAGATCCGTAGACTCTCATTAGTTCTTGCCAGTTCTGGCTGGTGAAACGATTGTCCCTATCACTAACTATTGACAATGGGATTCCATTCTCACTAACCCAAAAGTCAAARAACTTCTGTATTACTAAATCTGTTCGTGCCTCTGCAGGCAAGGGAACAAAAACTGCATACTTACTAAAACGGTCGACTATGACCATGACTTGGCTCTTACCATGTCTGCTCTTGACTTGCGTGTCCATGAAGTTTATGGATACCGAGTCTCCTGGCTGATCCGGAATAGGCAAGGGTCTGAGAAGACCTAGGGGCGCGCGTGTAGTAGATTTATTCCTCTGGCACACTTTACAACCGCGGACATACTCTATGCAGTCGTTCTTCATCCCTGGCCATGTGTACGCACGCATCAAATTGGCTAACGTCTTTTACCAACCGAAGTGTCCCTCAGTATCGTGACATTCCCCTAGAATTAGACTACGAATCTCTTCGCTGTTGGGAACGCACAGGCGGTCAAACAYAKTAGTCTTCTCAAACAGCAACCCGTCTGTAGTGCGGTAATCTGGTTCGGTCTCTGGGGTCTCTCTAACTCTCTTTAGGAGGTCGTTATAGATAGGGTCCTGCRTATACGCTTGTTTCACTTTCTCCTGGAGGTCTCTCCCTATATCCAGATAATGTACTACCGCTCCAAAGTAGTCTGATCTCCTACTTAGAGCATCCGCCACTACATTGTACTTGCCCATTACTGGCTTGAGCTCAAAGTCGAATGGGTCTATCTCTGCGGCCCACCTAGTCAACTTAGGTGTCATCTTGGCCTGGGTCTTTAGCCAACGAAGTGTCTCATGGTCAGAATACACTTTGAAGTGCCTCCCAAGCAGATAGTGCTTCCAATGGTCTAAAGCCTGCCTGAGAGCGTAGGGTTCTCTCTCGTACGTGGTGGTAGCGACCTTCTCACAGGGCATCCTCGCTGACATGAACTCTACGGGTCTATAGCCATTGCCGCCATCTTGCTGCAACACGGCGCCTATCCCATACTGACTCGCGTCCGTGGTGACGACAAATGGCAAAGACGGATCTGCAACTTTGAGGACAGGATATTCTATTAACGCGCGCTTTAGCTTCTTAAGCGCAGACGTACAGTCTTTGTCCCATTGCCAGATTGCCTCTTTTTTCAGCAACCTGCGCAAGGGAGCGGCGATAGTAGAGAAGTTCCTTACGAACTYCCTATAGTAGTTAGCTAAGCCTAGGAATGACCGCAACTCTGTCAATGTGCGGGGCGTCGGGCAATCTCTGATCGCCGCGATCTTGCTGTCCTCTRGCTTAATGCCATCTCCGTCCAACACGTGGCCCAGGTATAAGACTTGCGTCTTGGCCCACTCGCACTTCTTCGCATTGATCTTGAAGTTAGCCTCTCTAAGCTTCTCCAAGACCTGCCTCAGATGACCCTGGTGCTCCTGGAGGGTCTTACTAAAGACTAGGATATCATCTAAGTAGACTACTACAAATTTATCTAACCATGGTCTAAACAGGTCATTCATACAACGCTGAAAAGTAGCTGGCGCGTTGGTTAGTCCAAAGGGCATCACTATAAACTCATAATGCCCATATCTAGTCCGAAACGCAGTCT